AGTATCCAAAAGGCTCACTCAAGTTGAAAGTTGGATATGGGGATCCGTATAAGCAGTACTAAAGATACAATATTTCCTAACTATACACATATTTCTTTTTCAAACACTTTTCTCCATTTTTTTTTTTGCATCAAGAATCCGTGTCTGTAGGGTATAGGGAAAACTGATGTCAATAAGCTCAGGCTACATTATAACGGTATCCAAAGAAATTTAGGCAATATAAGGCTCAATGGGGTGACTAAGGATAAATAAACAAGGTTGGCTTGAAAGGCTCAAACGATCCAACGAATGCCTAAATCATTTTCTTAATTGAGTTTAGCCTAGAATTTTGCCTCGAGAGAAAATCAGACAAATTCTAAGATCTGGGTGAGTTATAAGAGAATCACATACTTCACATAAATCTTCTCTAGGTACACATAACTCAAAAAGTAAGGACTAGTGCTCGAAATATGGACTACATGCTCAGGATCAAGACTAACTCACACATCAATCCCACTTTTAAACAACATTTTTTCGAAAATTGCATCCAAATTTCAAATTAAGCAAAGATTTCACAAAAATTTTCTAGCAAAAATTTTACAGCAAAAATTTTATCTCCCACCCCCAAACTCTAATGCAGCAGTGTCCTCAATGTTGGAAAAAAAATTAAGATAGAGAAACTCCCTTGGAATATGATGAACGCATGCCATAGGGGTATTTGGGGTAGAAAGCTTGGAGAAAACTTGAAGATAGATCCCTACAAAAATAAACCAGGTAATTAGGGAAAACTATTATTGGGAGGATTCGATTTTTTTTTCGAATGCAGTAAATAAATAAAGCTAAAATGCGAAAAATTAAAATGCTTGGGTTGCCTCCCAAGAAGCGCTTGCTTTATAGTTTACAGCCAAACTCTTCCAACTCTTCTAGGCAGGCGAAAGCAAAGCAATGGTGGCTGTCTGGGAGTCGAAACCACCTCCAAAGTAGGGCTTGAGACGTTGACCGTTCACTTTAAAGGTTTCCTCCTTATCATTAACAACTTCAACTGTTCTATAAGGGAAGATCTTGGTGACAGTGAAAGGTCCAGACCATCTTGACTTTAACTTACCTGGAAAAAGACGAAGACGTGAGTTATATAATAAAACTCTTTGACCTATATGAAACTCCTTTCTTAAGATGTGCCTATCATGCCATCTCTTGGTCCTCTCCTTATAGATCTTGGCATTCTCATATGCTTCATTGCGGAACTCATCCAACTCATTCAATTGCAACAATCTCTTCTCACCAGCTGCCTGCATATCGAAGTTAAGAAAACGTACTGCCCAATATGCTTTATGCTCTAACTCAACAGGCAAATGACTTGCTTTTCCATAAACAAGTCGAAAAGGTGACATACCAATAGGAGTTTTATAAGCAGTTCTATAAGCCCACAATGCATCATCAAGTTTAATTGCCCAATCCTTCCTATTAGAATTCACTGTCTTTTCCAATATTCTCTTTATCTCCCTATTAGAAATTTCAGGTTGACCACTAGTTTGAGGGTGATAAGCAGCAGCTACTTTATGTGTCACACCATATTTATGCAAAAGTGATTCAAATTGCTTATTCAAAAAGTGTGTACCTTGATCACTTGTAATAGCCCTAGGCGTGCCAAACCTGGTGAAGATATTCTTTTTCAAAAATTTAATCACAACTCTAGCATCATTAGAAGGCAAAGCTACGAAATCAATCCATTTAGAAACATATTCCACAGCAACCAAGATATAAGTATTACCATATGAAGGTCGAAAGAGTCCCATGAAATCCATACCCCAAACATCAAACAATTCATAGATTAAGATATTGTTTAAAGGCATTTCATGTCTTCTAGATATATTACCAGTTCTTTGACACTTATCACATGCACCAACATAAGAATATGCATCTCTAAATAGTGTAGGCCAATAAAAACCAGACTGTAAAACCTTAGCTGCAGTCTTGGAGGCACCGAAGTGACCACCTGCCTGTCCATCATGGCAATGATAAAGAATGTTAGGTATTTCTTCATTGGGAACACATCGCCTAATAACTTGATCAGCACATACCTTAAACAAGAAAGGATCCTCCCAAAAATAGTGTTTAACATCAGAAAAGAATTTCTTCCTTTGTTGATAAGTCAATTCAGAAGGGAGAACCTTACTTATCAAGAAATTAACATAATCAGCATACCAAGGGGTTTCGATTTTGACAGAGAAAAGTGCCTCATCAGGAAATTCATCTAGGATTGGTCTTTCTTCCACAGGGGCATTCGGCAATCTAGAGAGATGGTCGGCCACTAAGTTTTCTTTCCCTTTCTTGTCTTTGATTTTCAAGTCAAACTCTTGCAGCAGTAAGATCCACCTAATCAATCTAGGTTTTGAATCTTTCTTTTCAAGCAAATACTTAAGAGCAGAGTGGTCAGTGTAAACAATGACTTTGGAACCAATCAATTAAGAGTGAAATTTATCAAAAGCAAACACTACCACCAAAAACTCCTTTTTAGTTGTGGCATAATTCAATTGAGCTCCAGATAGGGTGCGAATTGCATAGTATATGGTTCGAAATATTCCATCCTTTCTTTGTCCAAGTACGGCTCCAACAACCGAGTCACTAGCGTCACACATCAACTCGAAAGGCAAATCCCAAGTAGGCGCAGTCATGATAGATGCCGAAATTAACTTCTCCTTCTATGTGTTGAATGCCTGCAAACAATCATCAGATAAGTCAAATTTAGAATCTTTTTCCAACAATTTAGAAAGGGGTCTAGCAATCTTAGAAAAATCTTTAATGAAACGCCTATAAAATCCTGCATGTCCCAAAAATCCTAGAACAAGCTTCACAGAGGTAGGAGGCTGCAGTTTTGAAATAACTTCAATCTTAGCTCGATCCACCTCAATTCCTCTTATAGAGATCTTATGGCCTAGCACAATCCCTTCCTGCACCATAAAGTGACACTTCTCCCAATTCAAGACAAGGTTAGTCTCCTTACATCTTTGTAACACCAAAACTAAATTATTCAAGCATGAATCAAAAGATGAGCCAAAAACAGAAAAATCATCCATAAATATCTCAATATATTTTTCCATCATGTCAGAAAAAATAGCCATCATGCATCTTTGAAAAGTAGCAGGCGCATTACAAAGACCAAAAGGCATCCTCCTATAGGCAAAAGTACCATAGGGACAAGTAAAAGTAGTTTTTTCTTGATCCTCAGGTGCAATAGGGATTTGATTATAACCAGAATATCCATCTAAAAAGCAGTAAAACTCATGCCCTGCAAGTCTCTCCAATAATTGATCAATAAAAGGCAAAGGAAAGTGATCTTTACGGGTGGCATCATTCAATTTTCTATAATCCATGCAAACACGCCATCCAATAACTGTTCTAGTAGGAATCAATTCATTATTATCATTAGGTTAAACAGTCATACCTCCTTTTTTGGGAACAACTTGCACAGGACTTACCCAAGCACTGTCAGAGATAGGATAGATGATCCCTGCATCAAGTAGCTTAATTACCTCAGCCTTCACCACCTCCTGCATTTTTGGATTGAGCCTCCTTTGGGTTGGATGATCGGTTTGAATTGCTCTTCCATCAATATTTTATGCATGCATATCGAGGGGCTTATTCCTTTAATATCTGCAATGGTCCATCCTATTGCTCCTTTATGATCTCTCAGGACTTGGAGTAACTTTTCCTCCATCACACCTGTCAAAGAAGAAGAAATGATTACTGGAAGAGAGGAAATTCCATCAAGAAAAGCATATTTAAGATGAGATGATAAATATTTGAGTTCTAGAATTGGCGGTTCTTCAATAGAGGGTTTCGGTTTCTTCAAATTCAATCCCAATTCTTCGAATTTCGGTGATCTAAATCTCGGAAGAGGTGGATTTGCTTTCAAAAATTTCGTGTACTGCTCGACCTCTACAGCTTGGCTTCTTCTTTGCTTGGCCAAACCAAGCATGCCTCCAACGAGTCTTCAATTGTGGCTTTACTAAAAATTGATTCCACAAGCCTATCAACTGCATCGACTCTCAAACATTCATTCGGCTCAACAGGATATTTCATGGCTTTGAACACATCAAAGGTGACTCGGTCATCTTGAACTCTAAGAATTAATTTTCCTTGTTGCACATCAATTAGAGCTCTCCCTGTTGCTAGAAAAGGTCGGCCTAGGATGATCGGGACCTCGAAATCCTCCTCCATCTCTAAGACAATGAAATCTGCAGGAAAAATAAACTTGTCAACCTTAACTAGAACATCCTCCACTATGCCTCTCGGGTATTTGATCGATCGATCGGCTAACTGAAGAGATACGATGGTAGCTTTTACTTCCCCTAAACCTAATTTCCTAAAAACAGAATAAGGCATTAGATTAATACTTGCACCTAAATCACACAATGCCTTATCAAAATAAGAATTACCAATAGTACAAGGAATAGTAAAACTCCTTGGATCTTTCAACTTTGGTGGTAACTTATTCCGTAAAATAGCTGAACATTCCTCATTAAGCTTCACAGTCTCATAATCTACCAATTTCCGTTTGTTTGCCAAAATTTCCTTAAAAAATTTCGCATAACTAAGCATATGGGCTAAGGCACATGCAAAAGGAATATTAATGTGCAATTTCTTAAAAATATCAAGGAATTGAGAGAACTGCTTATCTATTTTGTGTTGCTGAAGTCTTTCCGGGTATGGAACTGGCGGCACATATGGCTTTGGATTGTCCGGAAATAACTTGCTTCAAGGTGGATTAGCTTTGGAGGGCTCAATTTCGGGTGCGTCGGCTCCGGGTGGTTCGATTTCTTTCTTCTTTCTTGCTGCTTCATTAGACAAATTTCTGCTAACTTCTTTTCCACTCCTCAAGGTGATTGCTTTTGCATTCTCAACTAGATTCTTCTCAGTGTTGCTCGGAAGGATACCATACGGTCTTTCTGACAAATGGTTACCTAACTGGCCAACCTACTTCTCCAGATTTCGAATGGATGCCTCCTGATTTTGGAACCTCACATCAGCACTTTAATGAAGTCTTGAGTTGTTTGAGCTAGCTTAGTAACCATTTCCTCAAGGTGATTGTGCTGTTTCTCCTCGGGCGGCCTAAATGATGGTGGTGGTGGTCTCGGCCCTTGCTGATTTTGGTTGCTCCAGGAGAAATTCGGGTGGTTTCGCCATCCAGGATTATAGGTGTTTGAATATGGATTGTTCTGGGGAGGCCTGCTAAAATTTCCAACAAAGTTAGTATTTTCAGGAGGATGTGTGAAAGGATTACCTACCTGACATTTGGTGCTAGCATGGCTTCCATTGCAAAATTCACAAGTTGGGCCTTGAATCTTCAACACTGAGTCGATCTTTTTGTTTAAAGCAGCAAAATCTGCGGCAATGGTAGTATTGACAAAGACTTCATGAATTCGACTCGACTTTCTAGCAGATAGCCTCTCAATTGGCCATTGGTAGCTATTAGCCGCCATCTCCTCCAAAAGATCAAAGGCTTCCTCAGGCGATTTATTGTTCAACGTCCCTCCAGCTGCGGCATCAATGGTAGACCTCAAATTCGGCATCACTCCATTGTAGAATGTATGCACTTGCATCCAAACTGGTAGGCCATGATGCGGACAACGCCTTAGTAGTTCTTTAAACCTCTCCCATGCTTCGTACAGAGATTCACCATCCATCTGTACAAAAGAAGTAATATCGTTACGCATCTTGGCAGACTTAGCAGGAGGAAAGTACTTACTAATGAATTTTTGAGCCATGTCATTCCAAGTCGTGATAGATCCTGCAGGAAGAGAAGTTAACCACGTCTTAGCTTTATCACGCAAGGAAAAAGGGAATAATCTCAATCTAATGGCATCATCAGTAACGCCATTATATTTTATAGTGTCACAAATTTTAAGAAAAGCATCTAAATGGATATTAGGATCATCATTCGGCAATCCACTAAATTGGACTGCGTTTTGAAGCATCTGAATTAAGGAAGGCTTAATTTCGAAATTGTTAGCTTGTATGGTTGGCCTTCTAATGCTTGATGTTGATCCTTGGACCGTAGGTGCGGCATAATCCTTCAAAGTCCTCCTTGGATTTTCTTCTCCCTGTTGGTTTTCAGCCATGGTGTTGTTGTTTTGCTCTTGTCGTCGTCTCAGAAAAGTGCGCTTAATTTCAGGATCAAGCTTCTCAAGTTCTCCCTGTTGGCTTCGAGTCATGCAATATTCCACCCAATTCTTGTACAGAGCCGAAATTCCTTTTTTTTATTTTTCTTCTGTAAAATCAAACAAATAAAATAAAATAAAATAAAGCTAGACTAAACCAAGAATTGCTCGGTATTAATAGTAATTGTTAATTATCAAATCAATCCCCAGCAACGGCGCCAAAAACTTATTCTCTAAATTAGCAACGCAAGTGTACGTATCGAACAAGTAATAAAGTGATGAATTAAAGTATCGTTCCCACAGAGATTGTAGACAAATCAATCAAATTACTTACTAAAGGTGAACAATTCTCAACTTTATCTAACCAATTAAAGATTTAATAAAACAATCGAAATTCTAAAGAAAACTAAATTAACCTATTACGATTGAAATTTCCGAAAGCTAAATTAACCAAGGCAGCAAACCAAAATCGAAAATAGAAATTCACAAACTAAACCTAGAAATTTCGAACATAAAGAAGCAAGAAGCAAAGGACTTTGATCAAGAATTAAAAACGTTAGAGCATCCGATTTCGTTTAACCAATCAATATTAATTAACCAAGCTCGTCATGCAATCAAATTGAAATCATAGTGTGATGGTAGAACTTCCTAATTTAAATTACTATCCTTGGTCCAGTATAGCAACCCTACTTAGATTTAGCAACCCACACTTGGTCCATGTGAATTTAAGTAAACCTAAGTGCATTAAAATCTATGAATGTTCCTGGATTCAATAAACCACCCTCGATTTACTTACTACCGAAACCACACAAACAACCTAGTATATCTCTATTTAAGTTAAATTCATGGCTATATATCATAAAGCACTCGCATAGAATCTCCTTTCGGTTTCATCATGCAATAAAAATCATTCAAGTGGTGATCAAGCACTTCAAAGCATTAAGAACGTGATATATAACTCACACATACGAGATCTAGAATTGCATCAACAACTCTTGAAAATTAATCAATCATAGTTAAGCTACATCGTAGCTCTAACAACAAGTAGTCTAGAACATAATGAACATTAAACTAAAAACAATAACTAAACTAAACATGATGAAGAACTAGAACAGATTCATCAAGAATAATCAAATGCTTGATTTTTTTATCACCTCCTCCTTCTTCTTCCTCTGTTTCTCTCTTCTGAAATCACGTTTTTATACCTCCTCTTGTTTTCCAAGAAACCTTAATCACAATAGGATTGCAATTAAAGGTTCTTCCAAATTAGGACTCCTCTCAATAATAAAACTCCTTTTTTAGCTTGGACTTTGATTTTCTTCCCAAAATAGGCTTGATTCTTCTTGATTTCAGATTTACATAGCTTTGATCTCCAATTTGGGAAGCTTCTACACGATTTAGGAACAATTGGATTGTTGTGGATACTTTCACGCAGCTTAGGAGGACAAAACGCGTGGAAAGCCGGCAAATTACAAAATTAGTCCCTGAGCTTCCTTTAACTTCAATTACCTACAAAAATTAATTAAAATAAATAAAGTAGGCATCAAATTCAATTAAAACTAAGCAAATATTAAGTTAAAATAATAAATAAACTCTATATAAAATAGAATTATTAGTAACCACACACTTGACAATGAAATATAGTCCATTCAACATCAGTTTTATTCTCGGGTTTCTCATCAGTAAACTCGGGTAAATAATAATCCTTCACACATACAAATTGTCTTCCATTTTTCCTTTCCAAACATGATAATTCGAACCATTCAATGTAACAATTCTACTCGTATTTGTTTCCATCGTTTAACACAAGGCAGAAAAATCAAACAAGAACCAATGCTCTGATACTACTTTAATGGGAGAACAATGACAATCTCAACAATATCGGATTAGCGCAGCAGAACAAAACACTCTCCCTTTTTGTGCAAATCTATTAGGAAATAACTTAATCAAGGAATATAAATACCAAGCACCCACAAACACAATGTGATTTTTTTACTTGGAAAACCTCCTTGATGTGAGGAGATAAAAAACCACGGGACTTGAGTCCACCCAAAAAACTTCACTATAAGCAAAACTGGGAACAAAGTTCTTCTATAGTAAATACTAGAGGTACATAGCAGCAAAGACATCAAAAACATCATTCTTAGCCATACACATAAACTTCACAAGAGACAAATGATAAATCTCACAAAAAATGGAGGTTCAGTTAAACTCACGAAAAACCTGATGTAGGGAGCTTCAATTAAAAATCAAACCAATTAGATTTGAGAAGAATGTGTCATGAGCATGATGACAAAATTTCAACTCAATCGGACCACGAATCGACCTCCGATATTAACTTGATGAAAATCAAATATTTCTTCAACCTAGATTTTCTGCTCTCTTTCTCTCTTGTTACTGCGTCTCAAAAAACATTCTTTTTGTGGCTACAACATAATAATAGTGAGAAACCCTATTTCTCCATATAGATTATCATATGAGCTCAAGTCTTGGGCTTGCAATTCATTGAGCTTCCTCCGCATGAGAGTGAACCTAGCCAACACCTTCATCAATTAAAGTGATTCAAGTTTTACCAATAACGTTGTGATATCCTTCTTTCGACCATTTCAATTAACATCTTATTTGATAAATTCAACAAGATCATGTTTTTTTGCATTCTCCATCAACTATACCTTATTGACCTCTTTTATCGTTTCTGACAATTTATCCTTACCATCCAACACCTTCGCCAAATCTTGGGTAGTTAATAGGGCACTTAATTCTTCACAATCCAAAGTTGTTCCTCATGTTGAACTTCCCAATTTCAACTCTTATTCTGGACATAATTGCAAACACAACGTTTATAGATAGAGAGATCAGACAAGCAAAAGCTGCAAATCACTCTAGAAATGATAAGTTTAGCTTTGATGCCAATTGTTGTGCAATAACGCTAAAGCTAACGGATTATGCAATTCAAGTCTAACGAGAGAAGTAGAAATTACCAGAGAAATCAACAATAAATGATAAAGGACACTAGTTATTTACATAATTCGGTCCGACTCTCGATACATACTCCACAGAGAGAGCCAGTTGCCAAGAGATCCATTATGAATATGGAGAATACAGAATTTACAATTGATAAGGGTGAGCATCGTTCCTGGATTAACCTAGGACCTAGAGCGAACCTGTCGATTTTGGGTGGATCCCAGTTCCACAAATTTGGAACCGACAATAAGCAATCTAGTTCTCGGTTCCTTATACTAAACCTGACCGAATTGGAAGGGTGGAATTGTTCCAAGTTTGCGCCTCTATTTTTTTTTTTAAATGGGGTGTTTTAGACCAATCAGTATTCCTCGGAGGCTTACTATATGAACAAGCATAGCCGTCTTATTATATAGTGATTGACAATGGAAATATTTCTTACTTTCTTAGTAGTTTGCAAGGATGTGTCTAGGCTCACCAGCAAGCGAAAATCTTCAATTTAAAAGGGAGTTCTGTTTGCAGTGATATGAACTCTGTAGTGAAGGCCCAATGGGTTACTTAAAACCTTTTAGAGGGAGGATTTGTTCAGATTGAAATTCGGGTCACCTATGAATTGGGATATTGTCCAAAAAATCTTAAACGTATTGTACGACGGCCAATTTAGTTTTAAATATTTTGACGATTTGCCAATGTAGTCCTATTGGTTAAAAATCGCTGACATGAATACTAGCCGTTTTACATTGTACTGCCGGCACTGACGTGAATAGTTTTTGCAATTTTTTAAAAATTTAAATTTTTTTTTCTTTTCTAATCTTTCTTTTCTTTTTTCCTTTTTCATGTGGCCGGTAATTTGCCGGTGTCGGCAACTGACCACAAACGAGGGTTGCCCTCACCGGCCATCCCTTGCTCAAATCTAGCGAGGGCAATGGGTGACCCTCGCTTGCAGCCGGTAAGCAAGGCCCTCCCTGACCTTGGCTCGTGGCTGGCCGCTGGCCACAGAGAAAAAGGGAAGGAAAGGAAAAAAAAAGAAAAGAAAAGAAAAACAAAAGCAAAGGAAAACAAATTCAAAAAAATTGAATAAAAACTCCAAAAATCATCCACGTCGGCACCGGACGTGCCACGTAGGACAATTGGTATCCACGTCAGTGATTTCTAGCCAAAATTGGTCGAAAAAACTACATTGACAAATTGTCAAAAGGTTTAGGATTAAATTGATACAATTGAAAAGTCTAAGACTAAATTAGTCCCCGTACAATAGGTTTAAGACTTTTTGGATATAAACTTGATGCTTTGGCGCTACAAATCAAGTATGTTTTTACATTTCTTTCAATTTTATAAAAAAAAAGGTTCTTACGTGGAACAAGCGCGAGGGTTGAAGAAGCATTTGAAGGGGCTCAATGCGGCTGAGCATTGTATGCTCGACAAGCTAGGCGGTGCATTCGTAAATGACCCTTTCGAATCCCAAATCTTCTCTCTCATATCAACTTCCAAGTTTGGAGTCCTAGTTTCGTTCCCATACAATTTATCCAAAGTATTAATTTGTGCTACTAAGACAAAAAGAAAGTTGCAATCAATTGGAGGGCATACGATAGTCGGTTCCCAGGTTGATCCGGATTGGTTACTGTTTTAACTAGGTAGATTCTGGGTCTAGGATGAGAATTAATTCACTATGAAATCGATCACTCTTAATAATTGCTTAAGCTCAAGTATTTCCCGGCTCCAGAATACATCCATAGCAAAACTCACAAATTTCATCTTACAATCTTTCACAAAACTCAGAAAACTCATAAAGAGGAAACCTTAATACTCCTCTTATTTGCTCTATTGTGCTAAGACCAACACCCGCATTTGTATAATATGCGAAATAAGAGACCCTTATTAGTCGACTAAAACTAAAAAGCCGACTCCAACAAGGATTTGTTGCTACTTCATATACTCAGTTAACCAAAAGTCCAATAAAGACTTTCCCAATTAAAATCACATTCCTGAACTTCGATCCGGTTTCACTCATGAGATCAAACTCGAAAGATAATTTAACACAAAGTGCTTTTCATAAAGTGCTCCCAATAAGATTTAAACCCAATAGCACAATTAGAGGAACAAAATTTCTTATGTCGACACCTTATTCGATAATCATCGTTACTTAATAAGCACACCTTATCCCCTCCAAAATATGGCTTTGGCATTAAGCACTATGTCGTCCATGCTATTTCCTTCTTTTGATTTCCAACAAAAAAAGCAAATGTTGATTTCTGGATCTCTGTGTCTCCCGTCACGAGGCATTGTCCGCTCTAAAATGTGGATCTCGTTATTTTAACCTAAAAATCAGCACCGTCCCTGACTCTCAACGAACGTGAGATGCATCCTTCTTTTAATGGAAAGCGTTGTACATCAACGATTGAAGTTTCATGTGAAATGTTGAAAAAGTGCAGCAGCAAAATGGTCTAAAGGCATTAGAGAATCAGGGTGCTCCTACAGGCAAGGCCCCTTTTTTTTAACAATAATTTACCTAACACCACCGTCATGAGATCGATTGTACTTATAGATAGTAATTTTACTTTATGGGTCCTAACTTACATATAATGGTCGTAATTCGTTTGCATTCGCAACTAGTAATTGACCTACGGTAAATGCTATGCGGCCAACTCAAAGAAATATTTAGCTATATTAGCTTCATCACATATGCAATGCCTCATATTGCATAACAAATGGAAGTTTCTGTTTCTATTTTCCTTTCTTTTCCCCAATTTTTATGCGCACCAAACTTTCACAATCAAAATTCACCCACACGCCAAAAGAGCACCGACCCCCTTAACTTCATTATTAGGCGTAATCTAGGCGCTAATCACATGCTGAAAATCCACGTCTCTTGTCTCGATGATAAGCAAAGCACCCCAAGCGCAGTCGCGCTAAATCGCACCACAAACGCGTGTCGGAAATTTCCTAGTTCCCTTGTCCTAATAACAATGATAGGCACCTGAGCTGACCGTGACGTGATCATCGATGTGGGGACCTCCGACCCACCTGCGTCAATGGCGTCGCTTTCCTCCACGTGCTCTAAATCCCCCCACGGAACTCTTCCGAAGCACGTGCGGCAATAGCACCAAGTTACTGGGTCCCACTGCCTCGGTCAGGTGAGATCTTGACCGGTGGGTCCCACGGTCTCCTTCGACCTTCGCAGGTTGTTCTCGTCGATCAAGCACACGAGCACTAAATTTGCCTTATTCAGAAACTTAAGCGTCGAATTTCATTGAAATGAGCGTTATTTTCTGGAATTTCCAGCGATGAACAGTAAAACAGTAGCTACGTGGGAACGATGAACAGTAACAGATGGAAGCCCGAGAGCTTCAAGAACTGCGGCCATGTCCGTTCGACGAATCCGACGAGTTGTCGCCTCCGAAATCCACGGTCGTCAGCCACTGCTGCATTTCGTCGTCGCCGAACACTTCCCAGAGCTCGCGCCCCTGGTCTTCCGGTGCCGTGGCCGTGGCCGTCTCTGGACATTGCTGCTCGCTCCCGTTCGGACTGATCTCCCGCCCCTCCGATGGGGAGGCCGCGCTCTCCCGCAGGCTGTGGTCGACGAACGGGAAGTTGAGCTTCGCCCGCGGCCCCCGGAACTCGACGGCCGCCCTGTCGTACGACCGGGCCGCCTCCTCCGCGGTGTCGAAGGTCCCGAGCCAAACCCGAGCCCCGCGCCGCGGGTCCCGGATCTCCGCCGCCCATTTCCCCCACGGCCGTTGCCGCACGCCCCGGTAGCTACTCTTCCTCCCTCCTTTCTTTTGACGAATACCAGTAGCTGCTCCCGGTGCATCGCGCGACTCGCCTGTCGCGTTCGACGCGGACGGCCCGTGCATGGAACTCGCATCCGTTTCTGAGGAGGCCCCGTGCTCGAGTGCCGGCGGGAAATAGTTGCACCCGAGGCAGCCCTCGATCTCGCACTCGCGACACGTGACGTAGCCGCCCGGAGCGTGATTGTCGCCGCCGCCACCGCCGCGGGCCGATGAAGCCCCGGACATGACGTCGGTCAGAGCGGCGACCATGACGGAGAGCTCTTGCTCGTGGGTGAGGCGGCGCTGCGGCGGAGGGAGGTGGTCCGGCGGCGTTGGCGGCGGCGGCGCCGCGTCGTGCTTGGGTCTCTTGGACTTGGACTTGTTCATGACTCTTCCAAGAAGAGCTCCCTAATAAATCCTTTCGCCACTTTCGTTTCTCAGGTGTCGAGAACCGAAACGCTGGAGCGGAGTGAGAGAAAGAGTCCAAAACGGGGTTTATATAGTCACGGCAGCAGCACAGTCACACGTGGAGCGATGCTTACGTGGCATGTGTCGCTTGCCAGCTAAGCATCGGCCACGCCACGCGGATTCGGGGGAGCATCTATTTTTCCACCGTCCGTCCGTCCGTCCGTCCGGTTCATTCACCCACGTGCCGTGGGGACAGGACCCCCGCGGGCGGTGATTAGCTGGCTGGTCGGAGCGGGACCGGGGAGTGGAGGGATGACGTGGCGGCAAGTTGCGATGCCACACGCGGCGAGTGAGTGGGGGGCACGCGCGAATTCCGACGGGGTCTTCCGACAGAAGCGCTTATTCGCCAATTCCCGGAGCACGGCTAGGAACGAAGTTTCCTTATTGGGGGTGGGGGAGCACCCGGTATTTGAAAAAGATGCATAGGAAAATTTATTAAAATATTATAAAGAAAAAGTAGTGGGAGAATTATTGCGGAGAGCTCCCCTGAAATTTAGTATGTGTTATGCTTCTAGATTATTAACTGTTTGCGTATTATTTTCCCCGAATTGTCATTTTGTCGAATTCAAGTCGCTTCCCAAGCAATCGACAAAAAACTGTAATCTCTCTATCGACAACTCTCTCTATAAGAACCCCAGGTGTTACTACTGTGTAATACTGTCCGCTTTGAGCCCATTGGCTCTCACGACTTTTAAAACGTATTGTCACGACCTAACCCTCGAGAGCCGCCATGAAAAGTAAGTTTAGAGGTACTTTATGGACACTCCCTAAGTCCGTACCTCGCTTGACGTTGGTTGTCTAAATTTACGTGTTCTATTTGGAGTCGCCACTAGCCACGGTTAAGGGTCGACTAGAAACCCTAAAATCGAGAGGTGGGAGTGTCGTCCCGATCCATACGCAACTAGAGATTTTTAGAGATCGGAAACTTGATTACACTAGTTTTTCAACTAATGCTCTTTGGTACCCAAACTTGACTATTTGCTAATCGACATGTCAAGGCAGTCTTTCACTAATCGAGGATTTTAAATTTCATCCTAGCCATTCTAAAAAGGAAAAACAACAAACAATGTATTTAAAGTGCGCAATCAAATGAAATCAAAACAAAGGTGCACAAACAACGACCTAATATCGTCTCTAAAAGAAAAAAAAGGCAATAAAAAATCCCCAAAGTAAAGCCCTAAAGGTTTATTCAATTTGGAATCAAATTTGTTCAAACCTAAGGTGATCATTAAAAATCCCAAACTAGGTGAATTCTACATTTTTTAGCTTTTCTCACATTTTTTATTTTCTGAATTCTTTGAATTTTTTTATATTTTCCTGACTTTTTAATTTTTTATGATGGAAAAATGGACTTCGGACCGGGTCCGCTTAGCCGGTATGACCCGGACCCTAGCGGTCCAGTCAGGCTCACAATTCGGACCGGTCCTTAGGCCCAGTCCGACTTTGGGTCTCTTCTGATGGGCTATCAACAATTCAAGCCCAAGTTTTCCAACTTTTTTTTTTATTCATTTAGCCCAACTCCAAGTTCAGCCCAGTCACACTAAAATTGAGCCCATTTACTGGTCCTGGTCTCCAGCGCATCAGCTCCTCAACTCCGACCCAGAAAAGAACCCGACCCGGTTTTCATTAAATTCAAATTTTTATATTTTTTATATTTATATTTTTTATTGTTTCTTTCTTTTCTATTTTTTTTAATTCCCTTTTTGGTCTTCTTCTTCCTTCAGTGATTTCCTTCCCCGAGAGCTCACCGCCAGGATTCCAACTTTGAGCTTCACCGGAGCAACTACTCCTCCGGCCATCAACGTTTACCGGCTATTTACTCAAGCAACCTACCACTAACTCGCCTTCATCCACCACCAATCCCAGCCATTATTAGATCGCCGGCCGCTTGTTCCGATCAATGTTCCGACTATCCAAAACCTTTACAGACGGCCATTTTCATTCATCAACTAATAATCCCCAAGCAGTAGCAACAAATGTACACATACATGGCAGAGAAAGGGAAAAGAGGAAGCTAACACAGACGGACTTTAACCGTGGGCACCTTCGGCATGGAAAACGGATCTCCGGCGAAGTTTCGTTCGTGGCCGATTCATGATGTGCAAGTGCCATAAAAAAAAATTCGGCATCAGCTTCAGTTCAACAGTTAACGGTGCAAATATGAATCGGATTTAAACCTAAGAGCTTTGACACGATCATTCTCAAAATCAGTTTGGATATTCTCTCAAGCAAATCGTCAAACGAGTAGCATGCGACTCAAGAAATGAGATTCCGATACGATTCTCGATCAAGAAATGATGTGTAGGTGCCTAAATCATGTTATTCTACAACAAATATGCCTTATTCTATCAGATTTTCGCACACACTCGGCAATTGAGTCAAGCCTCTTTTCTCGGCCAAAACAGGGCATATTCGAGAAAGAAATCCTACCTGGTTTGGAAGCAGCGTGCAGTCTTCACGATCGTCTTCGAACAGGAACGCGACAGGTCTGGGAGTCCTCTGGTGCGGCTAAACAGTGACGAACAACGCCGGCTCGCACTTCCGAAGCAACGAACCAAAGTGACGAACAAACTTTTCCGGCGAAGATAAAGGAGCGACCGGAGATCAAAGGGGAGGAAATTTGCCGGTAATCCTCCCACGTGAATAGAGAAACCGAACCCTTTCCTCTCCAGACCCTTCTCTTCCGGTGATCTATTTTTATCTCCATCGCCCCGAACTCTTCCCGCCTTTTTGTTCTCTATCCGGAAATCTCAAAAACTGATTCTGTTAGCCTTGTTCAGCTCAACTTCTTCTGGAAGTTTTTTTGCTCACGGATCGTGAGCTAGAGAGGAATGGCCAAAGTTTTTTTTTTTTTTTTTTTTTCTTTTGTGTGCAACGTGGGAAGCTAATAGGGAAAGTCATGGGCTTGTTATTCTTGGGCCAAAGAATTCATTTATTCAGACCTTTTGTTCTTTTCTCCTCATGGGCTCAAATATAATGGGGTACGGTCTTGTCAAGCCAAATTGTGGGCCTATTGGGCTAATTAGGGACTCTCAACATTGGGTTTTGGGAATTGAAGACCGGACTAGGCCTTTTTAATTCATCTTTGATTTATTTATTATTGCTATCAATTATATTTTCTATTTTTTACTTTTTACTTTTTTTACTCCTTTTTTTTTTTATAGCGGACGCTTGATTGGTTGGCGAAAATTCTGGTGTCAACACGCGTTATATAGAGTATGGAATTCCAAACCTTATCAACTAGCTCAGGACTCCTCGCCTCGGCGATGGGGGACAAGAGACATGCGCTTAGCCTTGCCTCGCCCATGTCCAAGATAGAGGCGCAAGCTCCCCTGCCATCCCTCATCCTGCATCCGGCCGCCTGGGGTTTGGGTCGTCACACTCTCTCTCCCGGAAAATCGTCCTTTAGAGGACGGAATTACCCTAATCATGGATATCACTCCCCCTATCTTGGGGAAAATTATCCAAAAAATCTTAAACCTATTGTACGGCGGCCAATTCAGTCCTAAACCTTTTAAAAAGTTGCCAATTCAGTCATAAAACTTTTAATTGTGCCAATTCAGTCCTAAACATATTGATTATTTACCAAATTAGTCCTAAATGTTTTAACGAATTGCCAATTTAGTCCTTCCGGCTAATTTTGGCCGGAAATCGCTGACGTGGCGATCCAGTCGGCACTAACCTTCCTACATGGCGTTGACATGAATAATATTCTATTTTTAAAAAAAAAATTTCAAAATTTTTATTGATTATTTTAAAATTTTTTTTTCCTTTCTTCTTCATTGAGCAGGCGACTGAGGGCTGGCGAAGGTGGCCGGCCATTGGGCAAGGGCCGACTGGGCGAGGGCTCGCGAGTCCTCGCTGCGGCCGACAAGGGCGTTGCGAGCCATCGCCCGCCCTCGCTATGGCCGGCAAGGGCCGCGACACCCTCGCCTCGCCAGATCTGGCGAAAGCGTCACGGCCCTCGCCGGATTTGGTGAGGGCTCGCGAGCTCTCGCTGCGGCCGGCGAGGGCATCAGGAGCCTTCACCCAGCCCTCGTCGGCCACAGTGAGGGCGGGCGAGGGCTGCAGCGCCCTCGCCCGCTGTCAGTGAGGGCTTCGCGGCCCTCACCCCCGAGCCGGCAACCCCTGCCAGCCCTTGCCCAGTGGCTGGCCACCTCCGCCAGCGACTCGCCGGCTCAACGAAGAAGAAGACGAAAGGAAAAAAAGAAAAGAATAAAAATAAAATAATCAATAAAAAATTAGAATTTTTTTTAAAAAATAAAAAATTATCCACGTTAGCGCCATGTAAGGCAGCCGGAATGACTAAATTGGCAATTCGTTAAAAGGTTTAGGATTAAATTGGCAAATAATCAATATGTTGAGGACTAAATTGGCATAATTGAAAGGTTTATGACTGAATTAGCAACTTTTTAAAAGATTTAAGACTGAATTGATAAAATTAAAAGGTTTAGGACTGAATTGACCGCCGTACAATAGATTTAGGACTTTTTGGACAATTTTCCTCCCATCTTGTCTATCTCTCGTCTACTACTTGCATCTCTCTCGATCTCTCCTCCTCTCTCCTTGCTGCTTGTGCGCGCCCCCTTCCCTCGCCCGCCAAATCTCACTACTTCGAGCTGGAAGCCTGCATTGGTAAGGTCGAGGTTGTTAAAACAAAATCCTTCTGGTTGTTTGGTTGGTGTCCCTAAGGTCGAGGATGTAATGCGATGATATTGGTGACTTCCGGAGTTTAATTCTAGCTGTTTGAATATCTATTTTATATTATTTGCTTGACTGTATTATTCACGGTGTTGGAGATCAGTGTCAAAGTCAAATGAAGAATGACATCATTTCCTTAAAAAAAAAAAAAAAGAAAACATAGGGGAAAAATTCTTGAACGACAGAGAAGGTGAGGGTGGCAAGGCCAAGGAGGGAGTTGTGGGATTTTGCCTAGTACTAAGCGTGGACATATTTAATTGGGGAGGTAAATAGGATCTGGAAATATTTGAACTCAGAAACTCCACTTCTG